ACAAGCATTTTGTTTTAACCTTTACTATATTTAAATGTAAAAGTTTTGACCAGAGGCTGGATTGTCTGTGCTCCTTGAGACATTTATCCTTTATCCAACCATGAACCGGATGTTGATTGATTCCCCGGTACCAAATTGATAACTTAGCACAGATATTTATTATTCCTTTTCATGTAGCTAGGCTGTAATATGCCAAGCTCTTCAGATTAAGATATTTTTAAAAATATGTTAAAAACAGACCAGCTTAATCCCTAACTGCTACGGATGACCCGTCCTCAAGGCGAACGGCTGGTTCTGACTGTCTTACGACGGTGACGTCAAGGCCATGCGCAGGCCGAGAAAACGTCGCGAGTACGTCGGTCAAGTATCTTGTCGCTGTGGGATTTTCCCGCCTTGATTTAACTCGGGAAATTTGGATGGGAACATTCTGACACAGGGTGCGTTGTTTTTTTTTGTTCCATCTTAATTCATTAGGGTAAATAGAATTTTTTTTTCATTAAATTTACATATAAGTTCAGTATACTTTAAGTTAGATTTGTTTGTGCTGTCTGGTTGTTTTACTTTTTTTCCTGGAACTGTTTTATGAGCTCAAGGTAAAAAAAAACACGTTTAGGTATTTCGATCAGCTATTTTACAAATTTAAATCGTTTCTAAACGTGCAAAGTAAATTTTAATAATTTAGTTTAAAAAATACATTTTTAAATTCCAAACTTTGACGTCACATTTTCTGATTCCCCTCTTACAACCGTCATCATCAAAATCTCAACATTTTCTCACCTAGGAGTGTGACGTCATTTATGGACGACCGCCAATTAATTACACAGTTGTTGTTTAAACATAATCCAAACAGCTGTAAGCTCTGATATAATTTCCTTAACCTCATACCTTTCGATAAGCTACAGAAGAACATGTTTTAAAGACTAAAGTTATCGACCTTTTATTTACAGCATTTTATAAATAAAGATTGAGATGAAAGAAAGTAGTGTCCCATGAGAGATTATCTCCCATAGGTATTTGCGATGCCAGTCTAGTTTTATAAAGTATCAGTATCGTGTTTACTGGGGACATTTTTGTTTTTATTGTAGGCCATATGACATATGAATGCCGTTAAATTGAAATAGGATCCTACACTTATCTATATTCAACTTCTGTTTATAGGCATGTGTATAGTTTAAGAAGTTTTGAACACAATTTTGACGAAAGTGCTTATTGCTGCTAAAGATTAAGGATATACGCAATGTGTTGATATCCTATCACATCCAGTCGGTAGTGCTTATTTTGGCGAACGATTGAAGAAACACGCATCGTGCTTAGATTATCTCACACCCGGTTGATAATATACTTATCCTTTTTCGCTTGTGTTTATTTCCTCGACAGGGTGTGAGCGGATATAAGCCCTTGCCTATTCCGTCTGTAATATGACGAACTTGTCCGAGTAAAAACAAAAATAAACCATTTTTTATAAATCGTAGGTCTAGACGTCAAAAGATCTCAATTTCATTTATCTGACAAACCTTTGTTCTAAAAAAATCATTAATGTTATTTTCTTAACCAATCCCTAGTCATAACTCTAAAACAAATGTTACTCCCTAATCACCAGTGTTTCTTCCAGACTTTTTTCTCCGGGGGGGGGGGGGGGCACTTGAAATTTTCGGGGGGGGGGGGGCGGTAGACTTTCTTCGGGGGGGCGGACACCGTTAAAAGTATATATGTTCTATATAAATTATCTATATAAATTTCATTTCGTTCGGGGGGGGGGGGGCGGTAAAAAATTTTCGGGGGGGGGGGGGGCTTAGCCCCCTCCCGAATAGATGCCTGGAAGAAACTCTGCTAATCACTAACCCTTAACCTTAAACCCCTAAACTCTAAACTCTTAACTATAGACTCGAAACTTGAAACTCGAAACTCTAACCCTAAGCCTAAAACCTGACACTTAACCCTTAAACCCCTAACCCTAACCTTAACCTATGACACATCTAATGGGTTAAAAATATAATTTTAAATCCATTGCACTAATTTAAAAAAAAAAACAATAAATTAAGACTGGCTATGAACCCGTAAACAATAATTGATCGCCGCCACTATATCGATTCTACCACGCAGTGCTTGAAACCATGGGTACAAAAATAACAATATATTATTAAAATAAAATAAACATTTATTAAAAAATTCTAAAAATAACAATCGTTAAAGATATGTATGTCTATAAATAAAAGCTTAACATAGCAATCGGATATGAGAGACTCTTAACCGGTTGCGTATTCCGTCTATAGTTGGAGGATATAAGCAATTCCTCCGAAGAGCAAGAATTGGTTAGAATTTGAAAACATATTACAAGACTCAGACGGAAATAGATTTAGAAAAACTGAGAAAAGGAACGAATAGAAGACCGAGTCTAAAATAGGAAAACAAACAAAACGATTACAATTAGAGTAATGGGGGGGGGGGGGTCCATGGTATTGGTTTATGACAACCAATTCCTTAAAAAAATAAAATAACAACAAGAAAAGAATCAAAAATGTAAAATATAGCCTTATAACCGTCATTTACTTATTTAGCAATTTGCCCCTGCAAATGTTGTGTACCCTCTGGCTAACGTGACATCAACATTTACACTGTATGGTGAGCCGACTACACTCTGATACCTTTTTGAGATGTTTTTTATGCTAATTAGTAACAAACGAACGCGAAGCCTTAATCGGTAATTGAGATGTAACTCTATGAAACATTTTCTTTAACAAGTTTACTTAATTTATGAACAAAACAACAGTTGCGTAATAAAAAAAAAATAAAGTCAACCAACGGAAAATATAAAAGGTGTAACCAGAATGGTAATACGGGCAAACAGACTCATGGGCTAGTTCTTTTGAAGTAAACTTGTCGGTAGAAGGAAATTTTTGTGGAGTAGTTTAGTAGTCTTTGTTGTGCTCATTAAAAATAATTTACATTGTGCGCGTGCTATTCTGCCATGATGTCATATTTAATTACATTTACGTCAATACACGTTTTGCCGCTTGATAGGTTTGTACTTTATTCTTTGATCTGTTTTCACTGATACTTTCATGTGAAATGAAAATTAAATAAACGTTATGAACGAATAGCTAACTTTTTACTTATAATATTCATGGTATAGTATGAATAAAGTAAAAGGTGGTTCTGGGGAGAGAAGGTGTCGACCTGAGCTATAGCTAGGAGTTTCACAGAACCTAGTCACCTTTATCAGGAATGTTTAGTTTCACAGAACCTAGTCACCTTTATCAGGAATGTTTAGTTTCACAGAACCTAGTCACCTTTATCAGGAATGTTTAGTTTCACAGAACCTAGTCACCTTTATCAGGAATGTTTAGTTTCACAGAACCTAGTCACCTTTATCAGGAATGTTTAGTTTCACAGAACCTAGTCACCTTTATCAGGAATGTTTAGTTTCACAGAACCTAGTCACCTTTATCAGGAATGTTTAGTTTCACAGAACCTAGTCACCTTTATCAGGAATGTTTAGTTTCACAGAACCTAGTCACCTTTATCAGGAATGTTTAGGTTCACAGAACCTAGTCACCTTTATCAGGAATGTTTAGTTTCACAGAACCTAGTCACCTTTATCAGGAATGTTTAGTTTCACAGAACCTAGTCACCTTTATCAGGAATGTTTAGTTTCACAGAACCTAGTCACCTTTATCAGGAATGTTTAGTTTCACAGAACCTAGTCACCTTTATCAGGAATGTTTAGTTTCACAGAACCTAGTCACCTTTATCAGGAATGTTTAGTTTGACAGAACCTAGTCACCTTTATCAGGAATGTTTAGTTTCACAGAACCTAGTCACCTTTATCAGGAATGTTTAGTTTCACAGAACCTAGTCACCTTTATCAGGAATGTTTAGTTTCACAGGGTCTAGTCACCTTTATCAGGAATGTTTAGTTTCACAGAACCTAGTCACCTTTATCAGGAATGTTTAGTTTCACAGAACCTAGTCACCTTTATCAGGAATGTTTAGTTTCACAGAACCTAGTCACCTTTATCAGGAATGTTTAGTTTCACAGAACCTAGTCACCTTTATAAGGAATGTTTAGTTTCACAGAACCTAGTCACCTTTATCAGGAATGTTTAGTTTCACAGAACCTAGTCACCTTTATCAGGAATGTTTAGTTTCACAGAACCTAGTCACCTTTATCAGGAATGTTTAGTTTCACAGAACCTAGTCACCTTTATCAGGAATGTTTAGTTTCACAGAACCTAGTCATCTTTATCAGGAATGTTTAGTTTCACAGAACCTAGTCACCTTTATCAGGAATGTTTAGTTTCACAGGACCTAGTCACCTTTATCAGGAATGTTTAGTTTCACAGAACCTAGTCACCTTTATCAGGAATGTTTAGTTTCACAGAACCTAGTCACCTTTATCAGGAATGTTTAGGTTCACAGAACCTAGTCACCTTTATCAGGAATGTTTAGTTTCACAGAACCTAGTCACCTTTATCAGGAATGTTTAGTTTCACAGAACCTAGTCACCTTTATCAGGAATGTTTAGTTTCACAGAACCTAGTCACCTTTATCAGGAATGTTTAGTTTCACAGAACCTAGTCACCTTTATCAGGAATGTTTAGTTTCACAGAACCTAGTCACCTTTATCAGGAATGTTTAGTTTCACAGAACCTAGTCACCTTTATCAGGAATGTTTAGTTTCACAGAACCTAGTCACCTTTATCAGGAATGTTTAGTTTCACAGAACCTAGTCACCTTTATCAGGAATGTTTAGTTTCACAGGACCTAGTCACCTTTATCAGGAATGTTTAGTTTCGTTTGTCTATGTTAATTATTATAAAGCATGAGTGAAATTATTTAAAATGTTTTGCTTTTTAAAAATTTCATTCTTTCCTTCAAACTTCGATTGCCCCTGATGATTGTTCTTATTTTCCAACAGATAATCTCGCGGTTTTACACTTGAGTGTGTTCACACCGGACGACAAAAGTGCCGGGCTGAAAAGAGTTTGACGGATTCCCAGATGGCTGTGAATGACACTTCAGGGTTTTTCCCCCCACCGTTTACTTCCCTAGAGACTTTTTCCTTCTACATTAAAGTTCGTGATGGACAGACGACTGCCGTCCCATACATCTGTGGAATCGGATTCGTGACCAACCTGGTATCGTTGATTGTATTCGTACAACCTAACCTCAGACGTTCCTCATGTGGCGTCTACCTGGCGTCTAAATCCGTGTCTGACCTAGTTTTTCTGCTGACTGTGTTGATCGTTTGGTTGACCCGAGTGGACATCAAGATATTTTTCACTTCCGGTGTGTGTCAGACCGTCATCTTCTGCTCCTACTTATCCTCCTTCGTGTCTATCTGGCTGGCTGTCGTGCTGACTGTTGAAAACCTGCTCTGTTTTATCAGACCTATGTTATTCAAGACATACTGCAACGCTACTTCCGCTTTACTCATTACCATATTTATAGATGTAGTAGGAATCGGGATTTACCAGCTTTCAACCTGGAACAATGGGATAGGAAACTTTTTCGAAATACCACCAGACTCACAAAAACAATTGAATGCAATGGAAAGAAATAAGATTGAAGTTCAGAATGAAGTACAAACACGACTAAGTGACAATCTTCATTTGTTTAATGAAACAGTTGTAAATATGGAGCGGAAAATAGAGGTCAATATCAGTGGACAACTCTATGAAGGAATTTGTACACATTTGGAAATCTACGCCGATTATATACTTATCATGACATACATTGACACGTTATTAACCATTATCATCCCGATTGTTATTCTTGCTGTAACCAACGCCGCCATTGCCATCATCGCCTGCCGCACCTCTAGAAGAACGAGAGTACGAAACAGAGCGTCCACCAGCAACAACAATTCAAAGGCTACATTGGTCAAATCGCGTCTAACCGCGGCTGAGCTGGAAGCTAGAGCCTGTAAATTTTTGTTTATGGTATCCATGACGATCCTCGTTTTCCACACACCAAGTCACGTGATACGACTGACGACGCTCTTCTCCTTTGGATGGCTGGAGGTCGTCCTTCAGAGACTCTTCGAGACTTTGCTCTACCTACATTACGTCATCAACTTTATTGTCTACATTATATTTGGTGATAAATTCAGACAAGTGCTGTTAGCTATTATTAACACACAAAAATAA